AAAGGGTGGCTACAAAGATGAAGACTCCTTTTTTACATGGAGTCACATGGAAAGATGAGGGGTAATGGGTACAAGTTACTCCTGGGGAGATTCCAACTGGATACGCGAGGAAAAGTTTTCACAATGAGAACCATCAGCCACTGGAATAATCTCCCCAGGGAAGTGGTAGATTCCCAAATATCGGACACTTAAGATTCAGCTGGACAAGGTGCTGGGCCATCTTGTCTAGACCATGCTTTTGCCAAGAAAGGTTGGACCAGATGATCCTTGAGGTCCCTTCCAACCTGGAATTCTATGACCTTATGATTTTACGAACTGGGAAATCAACTTAGCTGCTATTTCCTTACAGCTGAGGATACATGAAGATTTGCTGCCACCTATATACTGCTTTTTCTCTGGATTAATTAAAAATAAAGAAGTTCTAAAAAAACAGGCATCTAGATCGCATTCACAATTACATCTGAGTAGGTATGCAGACTCTACAGCATATTATATTTTCTTTATGGAATAACTCCTAGTGACATGGAAAGAATACAATCATGCCATAGAGAGCTATCATTGACCTAACAGAACCAAAATTTCTGTTCCCCCTGTAATACAGGGAGGAAAATAATGCTTTTGGTCTAATTCTTTGTGAACATTATTCTCCCATTTCTGGGAAAAGATTTCAGACATCATATTGCCAGGTCCTATACAGATAAATGAAGATGGAGATGAACAAACTGTTCTTCAAGTCTATCTTTCTGTGATTAAAGAAACGCTGTGAACTCACTGTGTAATGGCAGTATGTCTGCAAGGGGATCAACATTAAATCTGGAGTATACTGAAAAAATAACAAGTGGTTTTCTGTTAAAAGTCAGTATTTTATGATAGTTATGAGCAATTAGGTAATAACTGCAGTTAAGCACTGTCCTTTAAAACCATCACTAAAGCTACCTGAATTTGAAAGCAGATGCTCTCAGCAGCAGCAGTTTTACAAACACGCAAAAACTACATCTGTACCATTAGTTTCCATTTGATTGAATCACTAACTTGGTTCCATTTTCCTAAAATGAAACAAGGAATTGCAGCAGCAGCAATGCAAATAAATGAATATGCATTTTTTTTTCCTATCTGTGGTGGATGTGTTGGTCTGTCATTTCGGAAAACAGTGTTCATGCTTGAATTACACAGCCCTCTTTGCAGGTAAGCATTTGCTTTGGGTCATCACAGAAATCTAAATGACTTCTCACTGTCAAGACAGCAAAGTGGTACCTGTGAACAGACAGAACCTCCAATTCTGAATGAGGACAAACTTTTAAGTGAAATACAGTACTCAGAGGTCTAACTTCATGTTGGTACTGTAAGACTGAAATACCAAGTCACTAATCTGTCCTCTCGACACAGTTACGCCACCATACATGCTTCATATAGTAGCTAAGAATTAGATAGTTAATGAAAAAAATAAGTACAATTGTTTCTTTCATTAAAACTTGTGAGTCAAAATACTGCGGATCTGTATTTCCGCAGGATATTTTTGTAGCTAGGTATTTCTGCCCACCCAGTCTGTAACATTTATTCAATAACATTCAGTTTGTCTTTAGAAGCATGGCAGTGGTTTTGCTTCATTTTATTCTCTCGTGCAGACAGTGGATGCTTGCAGCCTGTATGCAACAATAGCATTTTTTGCCTATGAGGAAGGAGAATGAAAAAGTACAGCAAATGGAAGGAAAAATAAGATTTATATGTCTTTCATTTTCTATGGGAAACAAAAACAGAACTGCAGATGCTTGTACAGGAACCAGCTGTGGTTAATCCCACACAGATTTTCAGCTACTCATCTAAATACTTAGATTAGCATTTATGTCAGAGGCATCAGGTAGAAGCAACAGAGAACGGCAGAGGATCCAGACAAATACCCACTTCTACATTGTCATTTTTTATGCCTCAAAATGATTTAGCACTCTGGCCAAATCCTGAAAGGCTCTCAAACACAGCAGGATTTGGCCAAAGGAATACAAAAATCTTGTAAGAGCCAGGTCTTATACTGTAATGGTTGATGTTTATTTGGAGTCTCACTTCCACTCTCTGTTACTTCCACTTCAGGAGTATCAGCAGTCCTGCTGATTTCAGTGAGAGCTTTCAGGAGCTCGGAGCTCAGCATGAATTCAAATGCTCTGCTGGCTTTAACTCAAATCAGCTGGCAGGAATGTCCCCGTTTTGCTTCGGAAAGATTACAAGGACTTTGCTTAGGAAACAGCTCCCTCTTCTGTTCCTGCTGAAACCAAACCAGTCCTCTGAGGAAAGGAAACTACTTCAAACTACTTAACCACAGCAATGGAGCACAGTACTGCAGTACACTGCACAAAAGGGTGCACTGGGGCAGTTCCCTTTCAGTCCAACTTCTCGTTTTCTGCTCAATCCACAATTACTGCATAAGGTCAGGAAGTGTCAGCACATCCAACTACAGCTGAGTGACGTTAGTACAAGAGATTTCTTGATCAGACACAGTTTTCCCAAAGAATTTTATCCAGTCCAATGCCTTTGACACTCGTCAATAATGCACTATATAGTCAATGATTATCAAATACCAGGAATACACTTACTCTTCTCAGCTTTGTTGAGCAGCTGCCAAAAGCCCACTGAAGCTGTACTCTCTACCTCAATTAATGCTGAGCATGAAGTAATAAAGCATCCTGAAACTGGAAATGATGAAGGGATGAGTTAGCACTAGCTTATGTGCTCTGTAAAGCTATATGAAACATGACTTGTATGAAGTTAGATCCCATTGCTTCTCCTCCACAGTGACTATAATGAAGAACTGACCTCTTGAGGACTTTAAGTCTGTAATACTTTGGCTTGTTACTCAGTAGTTTTTAACAAATGAAGTTAGCTAATACAAGTGAATAACCGTGTATTGCTGATTGCTATTTTTCAGTCGCTTTTTGGTTCCAAACAGGAAGCAACAGCCACTCCTGGCTCATTTGCAGCTCCAGTAGATTCCCAGGCCGTTAACTCCCGCAGCCCTTAACAGAAATGTGGAAAGACCTAATACATCATTGCTTCCTCATGACTTCATCAGGGCCTCAACTCATTGTCTCAGGATTTATAAGAAATTAAATAGGAAAAAAAATAGTAATAATAATTTTAAAAAATCTATGGTTGCTGTTTTAGCGTATTAATGAGGTTTTTCAGCACCTTAAAATAAGCAACAAACCTAGCTGCTGTTGAATTTAGTAAAACAGAAATACAAATGCATGGTCCACAGATGGGGATAATAGCATGTGCCTTAGTTCATGGAGCAGCAGGTGATACAAACTCGAAAATATTTCTACCAGTTAAAACACACACTCACCTCTAGTACTGGGAGTGCAGCACAAGACCAACACTCAGAGTGCCTGAACCCTATGCATGATTTTACTATTGACGTGCTGTGTGACCTGTAGCAGGCAGGTTTCTCTCTACCTGCTTCAGTTTTCCCATCTGTAGTATGGGCAGAGTGATACTCATCCTCTGCTTAAAGTTTTTTGTGAGCTCCTGACACGAAGTGCTGCTTAATCACAGAATCACAGAACGTTAGGGATTGGAAGGGACCTCAAAAGATCATCCAGTCCAATCCCCCTGCCGGAGCAGGAACACCTAGATGAGGTTACACAGGAAAGCGTCCAGGCGGGTTTCGAATGTCTCCAGAGAAGGAGACTCCACAACCTCTCTGGGCAGCCTGTTCCAGTGCTCTGTCACCCTCACTGAGAAGAAGTTTCTTCTCAAATTTAAGTGGAACCTCCTGTGTTCCAGCTTGTGCCCAGTACCCCTTGTCCTATCATTGTTTGTCACCGAGAAGAGCCTGGCTCCATCCTCGTGACACTCACCCTTTAAATATTTATAAACATGAATGAGGTCTCCCCTCAGTCTCCTCTTCCGCAAACTAAAGAGACCCAGCTTCCTCAGCCTTTCCACATAAGGGAGATGCTCCACTCCCTTAATCATCTTTGTAGCCCTACACTGGACTCTCTCCAGCAGTTCCCTGTCCTTCTTGAACTGAGGGGCCCAGAACTGGACACAATATTCCAGATGCGGTCTCACCAGGGCAGAGTAGAGGGGGAGGAGAACCTCTCTCGACCTACTGACCACCCCTTCTGATACACCCCAGGATGCCATTGGCCTTCTTGGCCACAAGGGCACAGTGCTGGCTCAATGAGGCAGCAGCTTTTATTATGAAGATTTAATATATGCACAGTTGCCCTGCACTGCTCAAATCTCGAGCATCTTCACTGGTTCAGAATTCCAGACTGGTTAAACTCTGATGGATGACTCAACCAGAAGCATTTCAAAATCCAACCCAAGTCACAGCCCCATTACGACGCCAGCTTTCAGATGTGGCAATCTGGGCTTTACTGCTTTAGCAACCTTTAAATAAACAAAATCTCACCCCTCCTACTCTTCTCAAATTCGGGATAGGAAAAAACAAAACAAAACAAAACAAAGCAAAACAAAGCAAAACAAAGCAAAACAAAACAATTAAGAGTATAAGACAGAGAAAAAACCTGTATATTTGGAGCTCACAGAAGGAGGCCCTTCTAAATATCAATGTGAAGCAATAAAAATAAATCTGAGCTAACTTTTGAGTAAAATACTTTGAGACACAAGAGCTGTGTAGCTGCAGCATCATTGTGCATAGGAAGGTTAATTTGGCTTAGCATAATACTGCAAGGACGCAGGCTGTCTTGCTTTAAAGACATACAACAGTGTCTCTACATGGTACAGCACTGTGCTGGTAGCTAAACCAGCCTGTTTAGGCATGACCCTAGCACCCCTAGAGTCTCTGCACTGACCAAGAAAGGAGTCTTGAGTGGTTTGGGGTGTCAGAAGTTAGTAAATTAAATCTTAAAACTTCTCTGCCTTCCAGCATCTTCACATCTTCCAGCTACTTCCCCTCAGTGAAATCAAAAGGCGTCATCACTCCTAGTCCTCCATCAGATTTCCTCAACATTTTAGTGTAATATCTTTATAAATATTCTTACCTGTGGCCCGACAACCGACTCTCATTTTTCTTGAGGGTTCTTTCTCTCTTTTCTCTTCCAGACACTGAATGTCTGTGAGGGACACTCACTTTAAGGCTTTTTTCATTGCTGTCTGCACCAAAGCTTGGCACTGATTTTCTTTCTTCGGTCTTGGTCCTCTCTCCTTCGGGCAGCAGTTTGGCAACAGAGTCCTCTGTATCTCTGGGCACATTTCTTAGTTTTTCAGAGGCTGAACTTGCATGTGAGCTTGCCATAGTCTTTGATGCAAACTCCGTATTTCCTTGTGTTGAAGATCCCTTGCTTTCTTGAAAATCAGTGCTATGGACACTCAGGTAATTTTCTTCATGGTCTTCACCCTTGATCTGTGATGTGCTGCTTATGCTAGTGGATCGCTTTGAAAGCCTCCTTTTTGGCAGATCCTAGAAACAAGTGCCATTAAAGACATAGATTAAATGTTGGGCATTCTTAAATAAACATGAAAAGCAAAGGAAAGCTCTATCACTTATTTCGGGTCTAAGCAATTTGTTTATTGTTAGGAATCAGGTTATACAGTAAATCTGATTCTTTAAAAAATCATAAGACAAACATACATTTTTAATGAAAATTTGAGCAGTATTAAAGATGCTCTACACCATTTAAAACTGCTTTCTTTTACCTTAGAACATCAACAAAATACCTCCTAAAAGCTTAATTTTGGGGTTTTACCCAACTCAGGAAACCAAGACGTAGAAGACATTTTATTGTGGAAAAATGCCAACTACAAGTATCTACTCTTTATTTCCAAACCAGAGATATTTAGGAAAATCCAACTAAGTCATTTAACTTCCATATTCTCTTCAGTATGATCTAGATGATATGTTTAAAATATTTCATTTTCTCATTATTGCAAGCCTAATTTTATACTGGGAAAGTTCCTGTCTCTATAAAAGCAGCAGGAAGGGGGAAAAAAAAAAAGAGGTAAGAATTTTAGAAATGTGTTTTGAAAACATTTACTGATGGAATATGGTCAGACACCACCAATTTAGAAACATATTTCTAACTGAAAGTAATTTTCAGTTTCAAATTGCTACTAGAAAAAAACCAGAGTAAAACAGATACCCATGCCGAAGAAAACCTTGAAAACTCTAGATACTGCTAAGGTAAAAAAAAGCAGTCTTCCTAGGAAAATGGAAAACCCCATCTTGTCAAGAGACAGCAAGAATGGAAAAGAGTTATAAAGAACTTCTATAACCAAAGACCACAGACATGCAGGGGGTAGTTGCCTGTAGCGGTTGTATCTGAAACAGTTCGAATTTCGGAATTAACCAGAACCACTTCCTCAACTTATTTATTCCCACTTATTTTCATACTGTGGATTTAATGGATTTGCATGCAGAAATCATTTTAATATTATTTGCAAGTGACTTTATCACAGCAGGTTAGATATAAAATCCATGACCAAGCCAAATATTTCCTAAGTGTTGGAAATCACCTCTGGTGAACTCGCTACTGGTCCAGCCATCATTCCTCTGACAATGAGACCAGTCCTGGCCCTTGGCTTCTCCTTCACTGTGGATTTCAACTCCTCAGAAATTATTGCTGCTTTTAAATCATCTCGATTATCTTTGGACTTCTTATCCCCATCAGAGGGTAAGTGGTTGTTGTGGATTGTCCCTGTGTGGCATTTTTCACTTTTGTGTTGATGTTTTCTGGATGGAGGGATTTTATCTTGTGGATTCTCAACATCGCATCTACAAGGAAGAAAAAGGCAAAACTTCAAAGATCAAAATAATGCACATGAAATCAATGAAAACATCTGCTGGGTCAATTAAAGCACTGTTGTCAAATTAAGTTACGCCGTAGCTAGCCATGGTAGTCAAATACAACCACTTTTCACTTAAACATCCATAGGTAGGTCTTTAGGACATTATTTCAATATCATTATTATGTGTCACAGTTGGTTATAATACATGTAACACTTTAATCTTATCCTTACTTATTTTGATATGTATAATACCATAACAAAAAGCAAACTATATGTCATACCAGGCAGGTCCTAAGGTACCACCAGCAGTTCCCATTCCTTCTCCATCTGCTTGGTTGAAAGTTTGAAAACTTGTTAATACTTTTACGAACATTCTCTGATATCATATAACTTTGACTCTACTGACCCCTTTCACCCTTTGTTCAAATGTAGAACATCTATTTTAGTTCAAAAAGAGAGGTATTTCTGTATTTCGGCTTCTGCTTGATAGTAGTTTGCTACACTGCTGTCAGTTGACCTCTTCCATATGCTTCAGCCTGATTCTCCAGGTAGCAGCACAAGGCATTGCTGACTGCATATAATATATATAATGCTATAAACAAGCTTTTCTGAAATGCAAGTGAGATTCATCCAGATCTGTGACTCCGATTGTAAAATACCATATGCATTTCTTTCTTGACAATATATTTCAACAAATCATGTTCTTACTAAAAAAAGTCATCTTTTCAGCCTGTAAGAAATCTGATTTTCTAATTCAAGACTGATTTTCTTCCTCAGGATCTGTTTCACTGTCTGTATTACATCAGACCATTGTCAAATGGAAGTTCTTTTATTGAGTAGGTCCCATTTCACTGAGACTTCTTTTATGTCACTTGATAAGTTTATGTTCTGTGTAACCTGAAAATGTCAGTCTTCTTTATGATAATTGTCTGAACTAGTTTTTCACTCTAGGATTTTATTCTCTGACCTATTTCATAGCAAAGCAATTCCATGAGTTGAAGCATCTTGTACCACAAGAGCATTCATTTTATTTAACCAGTTAATTTTGAAGTAGTGTGTTTTGTGTTGTGAAGACACGTTGCTTATGTAAACTGAAGGGAGGAAGACCAGTCTCAGGGAGCACTGGGAAATCCGAGGACTGTTACTCCTGACCTAGGACCACGTAACACCTCAGTGCCAAAGGGGATAGCTTAGAGACTGTTTTAACAGTTACAGACATTCAAAAAAACTTCAAAAGCTAAGTTAAAAGGAAAGAAGACTCTTTTAATAATGAACCAGTGAAGAGAAACTAATTACACTCTCCACTCCTGAAAGCGCTGTTAAAAATTATCCAGGTAGTTGAAATTAAAACTACTTTCAGGCAATGGCTAGTTGATCTGTTAATGCCTGATTTTGCCTTGCCCGGAGGGGATGGAAAGGACTAGGAGGATCACAGAGCTGCGCTTTGCCAAGGTGTTTCCTCTCACTGGTTCATTTTGTGGGTTGAAATAGGACGTGGCTGAACCCAACTGGCAACCTGCCCACCACAGCCCTTGTTATGGCAGCTTTGCAGCCTCTTCCTGTGGCCATGCAGTGGAAACGCAAACTGCACGTCTGGGACAAGACCCAACCCAAGGAATAACGAAGTGTGTCTGAGGGTCAGATTCTCAGCTGGTTTTGAAAAAAAGATCAGGTACAAATACTGATCTGTATCAGGACAGGCCCCAAAGCCCACATTCCCCCATCACATCCAGTGGATCTATTTGCACCTCCACCTTCCTCACACCTTCAACTAACTTCAGCCTCCCTCATCTCAGGAAGGCGTAGCCAGTGAGTTTGGTGCATATGAAGCCATGAAAATTGGTAAAAAATCACACAGGATTCAGATGGAAACCTCCAAATCAATACAGGATTTTGCCCTCTCCAGTGCTGGTAGCTTTCAGTGTGTGGCTGGGCAATGTTTCCAAGCTCATACACGCAAAAGGTTGGGCATTTCTGGCTTTCACTTTTCAATTTACTTTTAATCTGCCAATTTTGGCTCCTCTCACCACAGTGGCTGGGGCAGCGAAGGAGAACACTTCGCCCTTTGAGGGACGCTGCCCGCGTCATGTTGGCAAGGGGCCCCCTTCCTCACAGCAGTGCACCAGTCCTCATCCTCTCCCGTCGCCGTATGGGATTTTACTTTGCCTCTTTGCATTTGTGCGTTCACATGTTTGTATAATGAACATATATTGGGGGGGGGGGGGTGTCCACATCCATAGAGAGGGAATCGCCTCAAAAACCACACTGCGCATGTCTTTCCTGTCAGTGGACGACCAAAACCATAGAGTGCCCGCCAGTGTAAAGCAGAGCGGCCCCATAACGTCCCACTTCCTGAGCCCTGACGGTCACTCTGGGCCGGCAGCCAAGCACTCGCTTTGCAGTTTCCCCCGCGGCGGGAAGGGAAGCGCTCGGCTGCCCACGCGCATGCGCACCGCGGGCTATGAGCTGTGGGGCGAGGGCGGTGTCGCCATTTTACTGAGGGGTCGACAGGGGGTGTGTGGGGGTTGTGAATTTCTGTGTAGGATAAAGGTTTTTTTTGTAGTAAGAAAAGTCTGCAGGCATTGGAGAGGTTCGTAAAGGGAATGGGACAACTTGCAGTGTAAGGGGGAGAAAATGAGGCAGGTATGAGCTCTGAGGCACCATAAGGTGGGACAGTATCAGGAGGAGAGAAGATCACTGACAACATGCTATAAGCTCCTGTATCTGAAAAAGAGGAGCAGTTAATTCTTTTGTACTATCTCTTTTTCAAGTGTCACTTCTCAGCTGGTAGCATCACCTTAAAAATTCTTGGCTTTCTTCCCCTGTAAGAAAGGTCTTACTGGGGTTTTGCAGGCACTGATGCTCAAACGTAGCTACTTTGAGCATGCTGTGTTTAGAATGAAGAATAAAATTAGATTAATTCCCTGAGAATCAAGGCTGGGAAGGTGAATTACTCTTTTGTGCCCATTTAAAAAGGTTTCTATTGAAGCACAGAGCTGTTACTCCACCTTCGGGCACTAATAAATGCATTTGAAAGACTCAATTACATGCTGTTTTCAGGTATTTTGCAAGATGGAAATAACTGAACCTACACTGTTTGTAACAATACTGAATTTAAGATAGTATGTATTGCTTTTGACTATGTAAGGCTTGAATATTCCTGTAGTGTGAGTGCAGGTGGTTAGTTTCTCAGCAGAATATGCTTCAATTTGAGTATTTCCAATTTACAAGGCATAAAAGCTCAGATTGCTATGTGTTTCAGTGACTGAAAGATGTAATAGATTATCAATCTTCAAAATTGGTAAGAAATAAAGAGCATTTTTGAAGGGTGGCTTGCATAGGAGATATTAATATGGAAATTTAAGCTTTGTATTACTAGGACAACTAATAAAAGGTAGTGTAGCTGCAGGTATAAAGAATAAAACTTTTAACATTATTTCCCTTATTTAATTTAAAAAAAAAATAGTGACTACATGGGGCAAAGAGAAAGAAAGAAGGCTGTACCTGTGGGCTTGAGTTTCCCTTTCATCAAGCATAACGGCACTGCCACGCAGGTGATCTTCATCCGATAAGTTGGGTGGATGAGAAGTTGAGCTCTTACTTTGAGGAGCTGAGAGAGCAGAGCTTGAACTGGTGCTTCTGGAAGTCCCACGGTGCTCGAGGAAGTAATTAGTAATAATTTCAAGAAGTGTTTTCAGTGGGTTCTCCTTTGCCTATCCAAAAAGAAAAAGAAAGTTCCTGGTGACTGTTCAGCTCTTTGTTAGTCTTGCTGCAGCCTAAAACACGATGTTCTTTTTACACTGTGCAGTATCACACACAGAATCGCTTGGTTGGAAAAGACCTCTGAGATCATCACGTCCAACCATTCCTGTCTACCCACTAAACCATATCCTTAAGTACCTCGTCTACCCGCTCTTTAAATACATCCATGGATGGTGACTCCACCACCTCCCTGGGCAGCCTGTTTCAGCCTCTGACGACCCTCTCAGTAAAGAACTTCCTCCTTATCTCTAACCTGAACCTCCCTTGGCACAGCTTAGTGCCATTTCCCCTTGTTCTATCCTCCATCACCTGGGAGAAGAGACCAGCACCCACCTCTCTACAACCTCCCTTGAGGCAGTTGTAGGTGGTGATGAGGTCTCCATCTGAACTGTTTCTAGAGATACCTGCTTATGGATTTACCCTGGATGTGACTGTGAACAATACAGAAAGGTTGAAGATGTCAGTTTGGGAATGTCAAGAGCTCAAGGGTGTTGGTGTGTTAAATGAAGTAAGCATTGATATAGAAGAAACAACCCGTTACAGTCATTTCTTATTCTCATTTTAGCTAAACATTCCAAAGTATGGTAACTGTGCTATAACACATCTTTTTTAATGTTACCAGGTCAACTTCAGAAGCATGTAGAATGAATTGCAAGTATTTTTAGTGCCTAACTTCAGTATTTGTGGTTTATTTTATCAGAATTTGGTGGGAAGCATGGATTATTGAACTCTGTGCATGTGCTTGGGATAACTAAAGTATAGGGCAACACCCCACCCCACTTGTTACATTGTTTTTCAACAGTACTCTGGAAAATGTGTTCCTGTGTACATGAACATTTTAAAAACAAAAACAAAAAACCACCACAGAACTTAAGGGCTTCAGTAAAAAAGCTACAATGTCGCCTACAGTGATGCAACTACACTGGGAGATTTTTTTGAAGTGACTTATTACTGGATAATCTCGTGCTGCTTAGCAAAAGCATTGTGGGGCTTTAAGTCATGAGTGGACAGGACTGAGTCTAGGAACTAAATCAAAAATATCCACTGATGTCCCTGACATCAAATGTTGCTGTTTATACTGCATTTCAAAGAGTGATAAATGCTACAAGTATAATTTCACCTGCTGTGTCTTAGACTCAAATAGAAATGGGCAGGCAGGGGTACCTCCAAAATTGAAGATTCTAGCCATAATTATGGAAAAGGTGCTGAAGTGAGTAACTGCTCCTGGTTTATTGGAGTTTGCACTTTGTAATAGGTTCATGGACTGCCAGATTCTCAGCTGTGTCCCACGAGCTGCAGTCTCCCTAGAGGTTAAGATCTCCTTTCCTCAGGAACTGTCACTGTCCACAGCAACGTGGGATCCCTCGTTTCCTGGGATCTGATGCCACATTTTGGGGAGCATGATCTGTTTCCTTACCTTGTTCTGTTTGTACAAGGAGTGCAGGTGCAGGACATTTCGAAGTTCACTCCTGTTGTTGATGCTAAGTGCAGAACGTGGAAGCTCTCGGTCCATGGTAGCGATGGTTTTCTTCAAACCCTGAGAAGGAAAAGTGGCAGATTTCAGAGTACTTGAGACAGTACAACTTACAAAGCTTTTATTTTTGACTTTGTTGGATGTAATATGAAACTTCTGGATACATTAAAATGGCAGTAATTAGTAACAAGCTAACCCTTAGAACCTGTAATTTAATGACACAGTCTTTCTGTGTTTGTTTTTTCCATCAGGATGTGATACAGCTTTTCATAAATGTGATTTATGTGATTATTTGTGTAATTACCAAGGCCGAATGTCAGGTGTACTCTGGCTCTCAAGTGGTTTAGAACAGGTTTCAAACCACTATTTTGAGAGAGAAAGTCCCAATTCCTCCTATGAAGAGTTATTGTTACAACAAAGGATTTATTTTCTGCAGCTTAATTCTCCGGCTCAGATTTAGGAAACTATGGGCAAGTTGTGGCATATAAATGATCATTATCACAGGTGGCTCTGATGTGTGTTAAAGATTTAGGGGAAGCAGGGGAACACTTGTGCAGGAGCACAAAGGATTAGCAGTGCACCTTGTTTTGACTCCATAGTATGAAATAGATGCAGCAAGTCAAGTTTAAGTTATTCTTGTAAGCTATGGTCTGTTTTACCAGCAAGGAATTCCCTTTCTTTTTTTTGTTTTTTTTTTTTTTTCAGTTTTACCTTTAAAGATATCTAGCACCGAAATGTAAATGCTTTTCATTTGAAAAATCTTTGCAATCAGTTGAACTGACAGACTTGAGCCTCTCATACTTCTGGCAGTAAATGGCAGATAATGAATTCTGCATCTGAAATTCTGCTGGCAACTGTTTCAACTTTGTTCACAAACATTGAAAATGTGCATTTGGAGACTGGAGGCAAAACAGATGAAGAAAAATGAGGTTTGTGTAGCTCTTAATAAGACAGCAGCTGTTTAATTTCTGATACAAGCTAACATTCCTGGCACTGGGGGACTGACTGGGCCGGACATCAGCAATATTTGGATTGACCATAAATAGAAAGTTTTAGCTACTTTCACCTGGAAATGTGAAGGTGCCTTTTGCTCTGCTCAGTCCCACACTCCCCACACCTACATACAGTACAACGTTTCCTTTACAGCTTTAAGTTTGTGAAAAGTATAATTACCTCTCTCCTTCCCCTCTCCCTGTCCCCTTCCCCTCAGATAAAGCTGCTGTGTGCCAAGCTGTTACTGAAAACTGGAGGAAAAACCTCATTACTGGTTTTCTTTTTTTAAAGTATTTATCCTGCGAAGTTGTGTAAGCCTCTTGTAAACACAAGGACAACAACAAGATAGGTATTAACGAGAAAAAAGCCTGAAACTTTGTTTCTTGATTTAATACTGATTTAATGTTGCAGGCACGTGTGGGTAAAAATCCGGCTTTCCACTCAAGGAGGAAGCTGCCGTCCATATTCAGCAATAAAGAGGCATTGTGGGAAATGTAGTGCGGATCCTCACCCGAGAGGTTTGTTACAGTTCAGCTCTAGCAGCTTTAAGGCTGGAAGAAGTCCCCCCATCCCAGCAATCCTCAATCTTTTACCACCTAACATTTTTCATGGGTCATTCTCATTTGTACTAGCTGGAGAAAATCGAGACAAGTTACCTTTCTACTGAGAAATTCTCTCACCAGTGATGCAGCCACTTCTTCCACAAAGGAGTTGTCCATTTTTTAGCCCAAAGTGTGCTTAGAGGGCGTATTCTGTACTTCATCTAACAAATCATTCAACTCTGCCGACATCGCAGCTCTTCGGTGCGGCTTTTTGAACCGCAGCGGTCCTGAAGCAGCGGCCGCGCTGTGTGCAGTCCAGTTGCTGGAGGGACGTTGCTGTGGAGACCATGTCATCAGAAGCAGGGAGAACTCCACCCCCTGGGAAGGAAGCCGATCATAGCCTTAAAACTGAAAGAGCTTGTGGTACAACGCTGCAGCAAGCATCTCGGTAATTGCTTTAAGGAATACAATTCGAGAAAGGAATTTTTAAATTTGAAAGATGGGGCAATGTTCTGATTTTTTTTTTTTTCAAATAAGCAGTTACTTGCAACCTATGCTACTGCAGCTTTTAACAATGTCTGTTTCTTCAGTAACATTGCACTGTTATATAAAGCAGAAACAAAAAGTGGTTGTTAAATTAAATGTAATCTCTTATACTGGCAACGTCTAAGATGGCAGCATTAATCAATTAAATTTTTCAGATTGCAGCTACATCATGAGCCAGTAATACAAAGGCAGGGACTCTGGTGAGTCACACTTTGGGCTTGGGGACCTGATTTAGGTTGGAGAGGACATCCAGAGGTCGTGTATTCCAGCACCCTGCTCAAAGCAGAGTATTGTCCTAGGATGGAGATTCCGCAGTCTGGGCAACTCTTCCCATATTTGACCACTTTTCCTTAACAAGTTAAAATTTCCCTTGCTGGAGTTTCAGGCTGTTTCCTCTTACCCCTGTAATGTCCCCTCTGAGATGAGTTTGCTTCAAATGTTTCTGTTGACCTGGCTTCAACCCACATATTTCTTCCCAGTTACCAGGGATGCCCAGCCTCGTGACAATAAACGTACTATAGAGACCAGTAGTGGGGATCATACTGGCATTGTGATTGAACTGCATATTGCGCTTGCTATATTTTGCTCAGTGTAGCTTACGTTTGTATTGTGGTGGGGGTATATTTTATATCACTCTGCTAAATCAGAAATCTCATGTAACATCAAGTATCTTCAAATAAGTACATTGGATATTAAATATTATACTCTCCACGTGTGGAAACCTGGTCAGAAGGGGTTGAATTCTGACAGGCTCTTGGAGAGCTTGAGGAAATGACATTTTGCAAAAGTTTTGGTTAATTTTTCCGTATGTCTTTTGGGGACGTTTGGGGAAAAGAAAATAGCCTTGTGGTAGACCTTAACTATCTTGTGTCCTCAGGATATTGGGGGAGGTAATTTGCCAGAGATCCAGAAAATTGGACGTGCAAAGGGCCTGGCTGTTTGTTACTGTTTGCTGTACTGGTTGTCTGATGTGAGTTAACTTGCTGGCATTTTACCTTGTGCTAGAACATGATGCAGCATGCGAAAGAATGCTTGCCATGGTGTAAGTGCCTCTGTCTCCCCCCTTCATTCCAGGCAACTGTATTCCAAAATGAAAGTAGAGCATAACTTTGGTAACAATTTAGCAGTAAAGCTGCTATCCCATGGGTCTGGATTAAAAACAGGGAGATCACACACCAACTACCATCATAGGCAAAACAGAGCCAACTTGGGGAAGTCTAATTTAATTTATTTTCAATTTTAAAAATTGATCATGATGGTGAGAAACAAAACCATAAATATGATCCCCGCACCCCTCCTTCTTCTCAGTCTCAACTTCGGTTCTGCATTCCTGACTCTTCAAAGTCTTCTGCATTGAGTGATGCAGATGGGATGGGGAATAGGGGTTGCAGTCAGTCAAGAACAGCTTCTCTACACCGCTCCTTCCTCTTCACACCTTTCCCCTGCTTTGGCATGGGATTCCTGGTGGGCTGCAGTGTGGTTATCTGCTCTGGCATGGTCTCCTCCATGGACTGCAGAGCCTGAAGCACACCCTACCCCTTCTTCACTGTCCTTGGTGTCTGGAGGGTTGTTTCTCACACTTTTTTCATTATCCCTCACACTCTGCAGCAGAACAGGTTTCCCTTTCTTAAATATGCTTTCACAGGGGCACCACCACCTTTGCTAATGGGCCCAGCTGCTTTCCTACAGTCAGCCCATTATGGAGCCATCTGGAACCAGCACTGTCCAGCATGGGGCAGACCCTGGTCTCTTGTCACAGAGACCACCACTGCAGCCACTTCCCACCCTCCTGCTACCATAGTTTCTGCTCACAAGCTGATCCCATATGGACCTGGTTTTGCAGAGCAGGAAGAACTCCTGAATTTCGGAAAGATGGGGGTGGAAAGAGAGGTAGGAAACTGGTATTGATCAGGTCAGGGTAACAGAAAGCAGAAGGAAGTCCTGCAGATGTCAGTGTAGTGAGAAGCTGCACGAAGCCTGTGGAGAAAGTTACTTAAAGAGGCTGGGTGGCGTGCAGGGGGGAAATCTAGGCACATATAGTGACATACAAAGATAGTGTGATAAAATACAATGAGAAAGCTCTGGTCTTAAGAGCTTCTGAGTATCTAGCAGTCTTTTACCCTCTATTTCTCTTAGAAAAGATGGATACTGTTAAGCATTTACAAAATCTACAGTACTACTTACCTGTAACCAGCGTTTAATACCTCTGTTTATTTACAGGAGAGATGACAGCTCTTAGTAGTTCGTTTTCGTAAGCTGAAATGTGCCAGGAGTGCCCTCTGGTGCCCATGGATGCGTATTGCAGCACCGAGAATAGCATTTGATGCAGCTGCTGGTTTCAGCACAGAGAAGGTGACTTTGGTACCCTCTGTACCATCTGACTGTTGTTGTTCCTCTCCATCGCAGCGGTAGTGTTCTCAAGGTTTTATTTAACGCTTAGTAGTAAAAGTAGGTTGATTGCAACTTGGCAATGGGATTACATGAGGTGGTGATGCAGGGTTTGGTTTTCCCTGGAGTAGCTCTTAGGGTACTCCTAACTGGATACTCACTTGTGTTGTGGTTTACGGTCTTGCAAGGACACAGGGAGCTATCTTAGATGGGTTACAAACAGAAACAGATCAGGAAACTGCACTTCTCATTTCCTGAGCTGAGATTCCTACTCTGTGAGATTCCTTTTCTGCAATGTCTTCAGCATGATTTTTGGTTGAGTAAGAGTGTCTGCCAGGGTGTGATGCTGTTGAGGCACGGGGGTGCCTGGCCACCATCCATATAGTCCTATAAACTTGGTTATCTTCAGCTGCCAGGTCAGTGGCAGCCTGCCCTAGTACAGCAAGTCCAGTTTGGCAGTGGGATACTGTGTAGCCCACAGACGGACCACCAACTTCCAATGATTTAACTGAGCTCTAACCTTCCCGCTATGCACTTAACTACTTCTTTCTTAAGCCATCAGCTGTATCCCACCTGCTCCAGTTTGCAGACCTCTCCACAGCTGCTGCAGAGAGGCTCCTGAGGCTGTCAACCACAAATTTCCCAAATATTCTTGATCTCTGAGCAAAGGGCTGCTGTGCAGTCACACTTGGGAACTGGCACTTCAGGTCTGTTAATCAGCAGTAACTGGGGCTGCCTTACAGGCTTCTGGTTTTAATTAATCATTAACTCACGAATGTCACTATCCCAGCTTCAGGATCCCAGTCGGTGACAATCATGGTAGACGCTTTGAGCTCACTGACTGTTGCATAGCAGCTGGGGTGTCATTTATGTTGGCCAGTTCAGCACCACTAACTGCTGAATATCCACAGTCTAGAAACCTTCTCTGGTTAGGGGCTGAGGGAGATGCTGTCAGTAATGTGAGTGACAGTTTCAGGAATCCAGAAACTGTGAGGTCTGGAAAGACTTCTTAAAATATTGTTTGAACATTATGGTGTCTGTAAATACCATTATTTTCCAGAATGACTAATGTACAATGAGTAGAATAAATCTGGCTTTGTAAAGCACCTGGAGTTAGCTGACATCTTTTTGGTACGGAATTTGGATTACAGTAAAGTCTGCTATCAATGCAAAGTAATTAGAACAAATTATGTATTGCTTGTATAATTGCACACAATTATGTATGTGCTGCAGTTTGTTGACTTCCCTTGTTCTCTGCTCTGTGAAAAACATAATTACACTTAAGACTGATGTTTTATATGCTGTTTAAATTACCTTTATTCTTCTAGTTAATGTTCCTGTGTTTATTGTAAAAATGCAGAACATTTAATTGTATGTTAAAGGAGAAAGTGAAATGTATTAACTTTTTCTGAACAAAAAGGCCTTTTTGTAAATAAGTGTTTTGGAGAGTGACTGATTGCACAGGAAAGGACTTGACTGGTATTTAGAGTGCTAAACAAGAAAGCTGGTTGAGCTCCTTGTTCCCACGGCAGTTCTTAGATCCACTGTTTTTTACTTTTTATGTTGCCTGTCTTTTTTCCAGCCCTTAGCTCAATCAGAGGTGCAGGGAAATAATGAATTAAAGACATGAGAAAGAAACAGATGACTCAGAGCTCCATATATGCATGTGGCTGCAGAACAGAGACACACTGAGCCAGGACAGTAGTTAGGAATAAAGTTTAGTGAAGAGATGGGACAGACTGCAATGACCAGGTGCAGAAGTACAAACATACTGACCAGCCCTGGCTAGCACACTTCTAGCCCCCTCTAACTCCATACTCCTCAGCATCCCTGATCCAAGCCCAAGGAAAGCAGCGAATCTCCCAGAACTGGGAAGTGTTTTTTTGTCATCTGACTCTGGAGCTCTCTACATTAAGATGCCAGACCTCAAGGTAGGGGCTCTGAGATGATTTGGAGTCCTGGTCACACATGATGTTGGCAGCTGTACCAGCCTGCTCTAGAGAAGTGGTTTGATTCCTGGCCACTTACTGAAATGTTCTTGGAAGGAGGATGAAACTGCTCTTTGAGATTTCATGGGAGATCTCAGGTTTTTCAAAATTTATTTATTTTATTTAATAGTTGTCTAGGCTTATTGATAAAGTAAAAGTCAGGTATCTGGTCCTCTTCCTGCTGAGATAGCAAGTCCTATCACTGATACAAGTTCTCCTTGGTTTTACCTCAGGGATAACCTTTGTCTAAATGTC